CTCAAATATACATGTATACATGCATTTTTATATATATGTGTGTCCTGCTTTCAGCTATTATCGTTATTATTCTTATTTTCCTTTCTTTTCTGTCCTAATAAACTGTATTTATCTCAACCCACAAGCTTTCACTTTTTTTTTTTTTTATTAGTATTATTTTTTTTTTTATTTTCAATTCTCTCCCCATCCCAAAGGATTGGGATGGGGAGAGAATTGAAAAAAAAAAAAAAAAGGCTTTGTGGTTTGGTTTGGTTTTCCTTTTTATTGACATTTTCTAAACATTTCTGTTATTATTGGGTTTATCAGGTTAATAATAATAAGGTTAGATTAACCTAATAATAAGGTTAGATTAACCTTCCCTGCCCAGGAATGTCCATGACGCTTCTCAGTCTTTGCACAAAGCCAGTCACACTGAGGTATCGACCTCTCTGCATTGATGGAGGAAAGCAAGACAAGCTTCCATGCAACCTTCTGCTTTCCAGCTGAAGAGTCCTTTAAATGTGGAGACAGAGAAACCATGCTCAGCTGTCCTTTATCACCAGGATAGTGCGTGCATTTAGCTTTGGGTAAAAAAGAAAGAGAAAAATGGCATCAGCTAATAGAGGAGCAGAATGCAGAGAAAAAGAATTAAAACCCCAGAAAAGCCCCAAAAAGCTCCCTGCCCTCTGCCCAGCTGCACTGGTCTTACCTTGCTGGGCAGCTGACCTCCACCACAACTGTTCTCTCTCTTCCCATCCTCGGGAGAGGAAGGGAGGAAGAAAAGGAAAGAAACAACTCACGGGCTGAGATAAGGATAATTTAATTAGAGGAAAAATAGTTATTAAGGGAAAATTGTTACTAATTACATCATTTAACTAAAGGGAAGAAAAAAAAAGCAAAGGCCATGTGGAAGTGCAGAGGAAAGAAATTTCTCTTATTACTAAGAGCAGAAAGGGCAGGTGAGTGCTGAGCTGCTGGTTTATTATTATTTTTTTTTATTTTTTTGTGCTCTCATGGATGCACAGACAACATCGCTTATTGGCTTGGCTCTGGCCAGCAGTGGGGCCCTAATGTAACATGGGGCAGTTTCGGCATTCTTGTCACAGAAGCCACCCCTATGGCCCCCTGCTACCAAAACCTTGCGACGTAAACCCACTACACCGATCACCCAGGGGCTCTGAACCTGTCCCCCTCCATCCACGGAGAGCCCCAGAAGAAGCAGGAGGCCTCTTCGGGGAGCAGCTCCTGCTGACCGCAGCTTCAGAAGAGGCCTCCAGCCTCCTGGCCCTGAAGAGCCCCTTTTGGTACAGTGCTGCTAGCAAAGAGGCCAGCTGTGACACACTGGTTCACCTTGATTCCTCCTGTCTACAGCCCCAGGAATGCCACGGAACAGACAACAGGACTGTCACAAGGCACACGGGACCTTAAGGCTGACACAAACGCAAGGGCTACATGGAAGAGAAAGGAGACCAGAGCTGAAAAAAACACCTTCTCCTTCTATTCATGGCTGTATCCCTGCAAGCTCCAGAAAAGGAAGGAAGAGATGGGAATTGACGAAAAGTACTTTACTGCAGGCTTCTGTATTTTGTTTATACAGAGAGGGTGCTAACAACATCAGTACCTGAGTTCTTGGAGGGAGACAAAGCCAGGGAGATATGAAAGAAGAAGTTGAATAAATTACAGTATTTTTCACATACAATATTATCATAATTATGAGAATCAATCAATCAATCGAACAAAAAACAAACAAACAAACAAACAAAACAAAACCGTCTTTGCTTCTTTGTGGTACAGTGGGAACCCTACAAGTCTGATGGCTACGTTATTGATGATGGGATAACACATATCCCAATACATCCCTGAGAGCATCCTTGATCTCCTGGTTCCTCATGCTGTAGATGAGGTGGTTCAGTGCTGGAGGCACCACCAAGTACAGAAGGGATTTGGCCAACCTCTTTTTGGTGGTTTATGGGAACAGGACATGGGGCAATGGCCACAACATGGATGACAGGAAGTTCCACAGCAGTGTGCGAAAGAACTTCGTCACGGTGAGGGTGACAAAGCACTGGAACAGGCTGCACAGGGAGGTTGTGGAGTCTCCTTCTCCGGAGATATTCAAGGCCCGTCTGTATGCCTACCTGGGCAACCTGGGAGGGGGGTTGGACCCGATGATCTCTTGAGGTCCCTTCCAACTCCTACAATTCTGTGATTCTGTGACATTCCCTTTCTGAGTCTTCTGTAATTAAAATGCTGTTATTTAATTACTCTCTCCTAACTTTCCGTCAGAAGTCATCATTAGGAAGAGCATCCTCAGTGCATGTGGCATGCAGACATTTTCCAGTCTTTTACTCTCTATGGCTAAGAACCTAGAGAGCTGGTCTGTTCTGGAAAATGATCAAACTGAAGTTAGAACAGTTGCTTCTACTTCCTTTTGAGAGACGAAATACAAATTCAATCTGAGATTTCCCCATTTACGAGTAATACAAAAAAGACAACTGGAACTGCAAAAGTTTTATTATTAAAACAGATTAACTCCAGCACAATCAACCTATTAACTAAGAGACTATGAACCTGTAAGGGGGTGCTGCTATCCCTGCTGTGTCTAGCGGGTGCCATGCCTGGGTGCCATTCTGTCGCCTGCAGCTGCCCTGTCTTGGTCGCAGGTGCAGGTTGGGCAGTGTGGGGCTGCCAGGCCTCACCTGGCCGTTGCTTTCCCTTCCCTGTGTGGTCCCCTGAATAGCCCCCTGCTGGCCTCCTTGATGTCCCTCCAGTTTCTCCAGCTGGGGAGGGAAATCAGTCTCCCAGGCAGGCAAGGTTAACACAAGCAAACAGCAATCTCTTCCCAGTTTGTCACTGTTACTTGCAAATGCTTAGTGACTTCAATAGCGCTGCTTCAGCAAGGTGATGCTCTGCAATGTCAGTGTCTGCCAGAGGCTGCTCTGCAGGTCCAGTTAGAACAAGACACTTTGTACATTTTGATAATAATGCCATAAACGGAAGATGTGCAACCCCTCCTTTCTTGTTCCTATTCAGTTCCTATGCTTTGATTGGATGTGTTAGCAATTTAGAAAGCAAGCCAACTGCACTCAGTGTGTTCTCTTAGCCTTTTAAATCACACCCCTCTCTGCAGAATTCTCTTCATGTATCCTCGCAATGACAACAAAGTCTATGAAAAATGGTTTTCTGCTTGAAAGATAAAAGCAGTAAGCTATTTCTGTAAAGATTTAGTAGAAAGTACAGGTCTTTTCTGAGCCACAGTGTCAGCAAAGAGTTCAATGTCATACTAACTTCGGAGGCTGATGTATTCCATCAGTTTACCCTGATAGACTAACCACAACTTTTGTCTTCTATGAAGAAGTTAGTCAAGCCACTGAAGTTTTTAGATGCATGCACAGGTATGTTCTTATCCATTTACTACAGGCCTGAGCAATAAGCTTCAACAAAAGAAGCCTTCAGTGCCATCCTTTCTGCGTATCACTGAAATACGCAACACAGATGCCACTTCAAAATCTCCAAGGTTCATTGCAAACAGCACACCACATCTGGAAGGATTTCTAGGGCCTCCTTGCCAACTTTTTCATATCTTTCACTCACCTGTGCAGCAAACAACAAATATTTCACCTGGCTGTGCATTCGTATTGCTTCTACCTCCTTGGAAAAGGGCCATACAACATAAACAAATGGAAAAGCTTACAAGGGAAGCAAACAATCACAAGCAACAAAAACTGACGAAAAATTCACTTGGAAGGAAGCAGACTATTCACAGTTCTATGACCAATGACAGTGTGAACTAAATCTCCAGAACGGCAGTAACAATAGAGCTTGCCTCTGAGACTGATAGTCCCAGCCTCAGAAGGTCTTAGGCTATTTCCTGAAGGACTTGATCAAGAACAAGGACAAAGCTAGTTTCATCTCCAACTTCTTGCTCTTGCATGTGGGAAGCCTTCACAAGCATTTTTGCAGTAGGGTGCTGGACCTTTAAAAGAAGTCACACATCTTCGTCACTAACATCTCACCTGGATTGTAGCTCCTGGTTTTTCTTCTGCCTCCAGTATAAGCTCCCTAATTTCAAGATATATCTAAAGATACACTGAATGCATGAAGTAGGAAAAAAAAGTAATACGGATTAACTTAACTGGGTAAGTTCTCTAAAAGCCAAAAGCACAACCACCTATGAAAAGAAAAAAATCACAAAGAACCAAACATCTCCCCTGCAACATATATTGGATATCCTTGTTATTGGTTCTGTGCTTTTTTGACAGTGTGCAGAGGTTTCACTGTCACTTCTGCAACATGAGAGAAGCCTGAATTTAGACCTTTAAGCTGAATTCACATATGTGTATCCTACAAACAAGATCTCTACATTACAGTTTAATTCTAGTGTTTTATCCACTTTGGGAATGCACTGTTTTCCCCCCTGTGGTGGTTTTACTCAGGTGGGCAGCCGAGCCCCACCACGACCGCTCTCTCACTCCCCCTTTCCTCAAAGAGGAAGGGGGAGAAAATACAACACAGAGAACTCAAGGTTTGAGATGAGAAAGGTTTAATTAAAGGGAAAGGGAATGGGGAGGAAAAAAGAAACAAAGGAAACAATAAGTCCGCGTACAAGCACAGAGAGAGGGAAAAAAATTATTGTCTACTTCCCATCAACGAGCAATGTTCGGCCACATCCTGGGAAGCAGGGCCTCAAAACACATAGTGGTTGTTCAGGACGAACACCCCCTCCCCCACGAGAGCCCCCCTTTTTGTTGCTGTGTGTGACATCAGGTGTTATTGAATATCCCTTTGGTTGGTTTAGGTCAGCTGCCCCTGCAATGTCCCATCCCCATCACTTGCCCACCCCCAGCCTGCTGGCTCTTGGGGGCTTGCAAGGAGTCCTGATGCTGTGCCAGCACTATGCAGCAATAGACACAACACTGGAGTGATATCAGTGCTGTTCCAGCTACAAGTGCAGAGCACAGCACTGTGTGGGCTGCTGCAGGGAAAAGGTGGCTCCAGCTGAGACAGAGCCAACACAGAGTCTAACACAGAGGTGGGAAGTTCATTCCTTCTGAAAATCTTTGTTTCATCAGTTTCCTGAGGGCATCCTTGATCTCCTGGTTCCTCATGCTGTAGATGAGGGGGTTCAGTGCTGGAGGCACCACCGAGTACAGAACTGCCATCACCAGGTCCAGGGATGGGGAGGAGATGGAGGGAGGCTTCAGGTAGGAAAACATGCCAGTGCTGACAAACAAGGAGACCACAGCCAGGTGAGGGAGGCACATGGAAAAGGCTTTGTGCTGGCCCTGCTCAGAGGGGATTCTCAGCACGGCCCTGAAGATCTGCACATAGGACACCAGGATGAAAACAAAACAACCAAATACTAAACAAAGACAAACCACAAGAAGCCCAGCTTCCCTGAGGTAGGAGTCTGAGCAGGAGAGCTTGAGGATCTGGGGGATTTCACAGAAGAACTGGCCCACAGCATTGCCTTTGCAAAGAGGAAGAGAAAATGTGTTGGCAGTGTGCAGGAGAGCATAGAGGAAACCACTGCCCCAGGCAGCTGCTGCCATGGTGGCACAGGCCCTGGTGCCCAGGAGGGTCCCGTAGTGCAGGGGCTGGCAAATGGCCACGTAGCGGTCATAGGCCATGATTGTGAGGACAGAATACTCTGCTGTCATCAAGAACAGAAACAGAAAAACCTGGGCTGCACATCCTGCATAGGAAATGGTCTCGGCGTCCCACAGGGAATTGGCCATGGCTTTGGGAAGAGTGGTGGAGATGGATCCCAGGTCGAGGAGGGCGAGGTTGAGGAGGAAGAAGTACATGGGGGTGTGGAGGCGGTGGTCGCAGGCTACGGCGGTGAGGATGAAGCCGTTGCCCAGGAGGGCAGCCAGGTAGATGCCCAGGAAGAGCGCGAAGTGCAGGAGCTCCAGCTCCCGCGTGTCTGTGAATGCCAGCAGGAGGAACTCAGTGATGTAGCTGCTGTTGGACATCTGATCCCTTTGCTCACGGGGTGCTGCCAAAGGAATAAGCCCACTCATAAGTTAGGACTGCTCCGATCCAATCTCTTTCCACTCCTTGCCCTCCAGTCCCACAGCATCACCCAAAGTACATGGCCACTCACCTTCCTTTCAGCACCCTCGTGCACCTCCGTAGCTGGAGCTCTGCTTCATGCTGGCTCAGGGCACTGTGAGGAGCAGGGTCTCTTTTCCTGAAGGACTCAGCCCCGCTCTACTCTGGCTGCCCCATTGGAAAGCTGCTGAGATATTCCAAAATTCAGCATTTACCTCTCATGTCACCGACTTGCAATGCAGAAGGGCTGCTCAGCACCTTCCAGCAGAAGAAGCTCCTGGGTGTGCTCTAAGAGGTTGCCTGCAGAGCCAGCTCGCTGCCCAGCCCCACGCACCGTGCTGTCAGGTTCCACACACTGAGGTGCTCCGAGGGACTGGGGCTGGACAAAGCTGCACGGCAGGACCTGCACTGCTGTGTGGGAGCTGCTGCAGGGCGTGAGGGGCAAAGCAAGGGCAGCGTGAGCAGTAAGGGGATGGGAGAGCTCCCCAGCACTCCTGCCGGCTGGCGACAGGGCAGACCGATTGCACTCGGGAGCTTCTCCTCCTCGGGCTCCAGCTGCCAAGGAGCTGACTCAAGCCAGGAGCCCATGGCCTCGGTGACAGAGGCTCTGCTGGCCGGGAGACAACAAGGACTTGTGCCACCAAAGGCCTCTGCACTGCAGGGGCAGGGGCAGGGAGGCGCCTGAATCTCCTTGCCATGGTGTTTGTGGCAGCAGCCCCCTCTCCCCCTGTCTGCTACCTGGGGCTGACCCTGCAGGCGGCTGTCTCCCTGTCCCCACCTCTCCTCTCTGCCCATGCTCACATACATGCCCTGGATGCTCACCCTACCGTGGGAAAACCCTGCTCTGGAGCACATCCTCCTCCACACCAGAGAAACTGGGGGAGTCCTGATGGGTGCTCTAGGCTGTGGGACATGCCAGCTCTACCAGGCACTCACCTCTCCCCTTGTCTCTGCAGCTCTGCTCACTTGCCATAAGCTCCCTGTGTCCCAGGAGCCCAGCTCAGCAGCAGATGCTCAGCCCAAGGCATCACTTGCTCTGCCCCTCTTGCATCCCACAAGACGTCCCTGGGGCTGCAGGTCTGATGGCTCCTGAAGGCAGCAGAGTCGCTCCTGGGGCACCTACTTGGAAGCAGACCGACGCAGTCCCTCTCAGCCCCTCTGCACACTGGACAGACTGATTCCTGCAGCAGGAGCTGCCCTGCCAGTGATCTATGTGATCTATGGAAGGCATCAGTGTTCCCCCCCGGGGAACCCCTGGTCCTGCCCCAGTGTCAGGCAGGACGCGAGCAGGGCAGGCAGGGATCCTGTGGTGCGGGGCAGGGGTTCAGCTGGGCCAGTGCTGCTCTCTCTCAGCTCTCATCAGTGGCCCTGAGGCTGGCAGCTCCCTTCCTGCAGCCCTCAGAGCCCCAGCAGCAGAGACCCCTCTTGCCTCTGCTCGGTGCAGAGACAGTGGGTGCCTGCGGGCCAGCCCCTTCCCTGAGCTCCCCCTGGGTCAGCAGGTAGGGAGGGGGGCAGTCAACACTCACTTACACACCAAAAACAAACCAACCTTGGTGGCATTGGAGGTGCTAGGGCTGGTCCCATCCTTGTGCATGTGTCTGGCCCTTCTAATGGGGCACAAGTGGGACAGCCCCGCCTGCCTGAGCATCAATTGCAGGGCGCTAGGGAGAGGGCCATTTGTCTAAGTGAGAAGGCATCAAACACTGAGGGCATTAAACCTGCCCTGGGCACACAGTTCCTTGCAGAAAAGCCATTGCTCACAGAGGGTCCTGGGCTCTTGGTAAAAGGGTATCCCATTACAGGTCCGTGCTTGGCCCTGGTGGCACAGCTGAACTGCACCTGCCCAAACGTGTGCTAACGCCCTCAGCCAGGAAGAGGCAGGGGGACCTGGAGCCTGTCACAGGATGGGGACACTTATGGAATAACTCCTGAGATGTGGCAAGGAGCTCGTAGGTCTGGTGGTGCTGTAAAAGACACACGCATTATTCAGGACCTAAGACTCATCAGAGCACCACAGGAGAAGCTGATGGTGGTGACATTGTGGTGAGGCTTACGGATGTGCTGAAAAAGTGGTCCAAGTCTTGTTCAAGCAGCCCATGGACATCTCCAGAGGAATTACTTTATCTATTACAAGAGACTTGAATTTCCTTGGCATTTCCTCATCAAGTACCATGTCAGGGTGCTACTGTGAACCAAGGAGTGCTGGTTCCTTGTGGTCCAATGTGAAAGGAACAAGTTGTTTCAGAAAAGACAGCAGTTTTGTTAACATCCCTGAACAGATCATAGGACGACATCAAATCTTTTCCACCTCCCAGCGCTGGGAGCTCCAAGCAGATACCACATCAGATGGACCACTAGTCACGCCACAGCATGTGGTGCCAATCCTACTCTTTAGTGTGTTTGCAAGGGGATGTTTATATCGATCATGTCACTTCAGTCAAAATGACCTCTCAATAGTTTCCAGCAGGTTTTGCCCCTTATGCTGTTTATCCCGGGTTCTGTAGCTTCCCCAAGCTCATTGATAAAGTCCTGCAGGAGCAGGTCCCACAATGACCAGTTCTCCACTAATTACTCATCTCCAGGCTGAGTCTGATTCCTCCTGCTGTGAATGCCAGCAGGAGGAACTCACTCACGGAGCTACTGTTGGGCATCTGCTGTCTCTGGATATTGGGGTTTTTACAATGTCAAAGAGCCAGTGGGATAGTGTGGACAGAGTCCTGTAAGGAAAAATTCCTCCACTTCTTACAGACCCCACCTATACAGTCTCTGTCCTCCAGGACCACCTCTGTTCAGATCCCTGGTTCATCTCTGTCTTATTGCTTGCTTAGTGTGCAATGGAAGCAGGGGACTCTGCTGTGGGCTCTGGAGGAGTCAGTCCTGTGGTGCAGCATCAGGGAAACTGGAACCAGGAATCACCTCCGCTTAAATCATGGTATCCAAGAGCATCTCCCAACTCACCAGGTTGCAGAATAAAGCTGTGGGTATTTAATTTGGTTTATTTTGTTTCTGTTGCCTCACCAACACCTGAGACGTGTTTCTTGCAGGTAGACACCCTTGGCGTGACCACCATACTCCAAGGGCTCTATGGAGAGACCTGGGAGGCAAAAGGGCAGATCCTTGGTGCAGGGGGACTACAGCCTCTAAGCCCATCAGTCTATCTCTCCACTGCCCTGTGCTGGCAACTCTTTGAGCTCGAGGATGATCAAACTGAGATATTCCCCTGAAATGAAATTTGGCACTGCTGAGAGCTGAGGAATCCAGTTTCATACAGCAGCTCTTCGAAAACCCCTCCCTAGTGGAAACCTGTGTACTTCTGTGTGCCCCAAAATTAGGGTGTCCTTGAGAGAATGTTAGCTTCATCCCCACCACAGTGACGGCATTGCTGAACCCCATGAGTCAGAAGGGGGCTTGGGCACCCTGTTCCCATGGACACATCTGTATGGCAGGATTGTATGGGTTGAGCCCCCCATCTCCATCCCACCTGAGAAGAACAGCACCTGCAGAGCTGGGTGGAGAGACGAGGAGAGCTGTTACGATGCTCCTGCCGGGGAGGGACAGATGGACACTCAGGAGACCCTCCTCTCCTGCCCTGGACCCTATGGCCTTAAGGGGGCTCTCCTGGGTGGAAGAGGAGACCCATCAGTTTGTCTGGAGAAAGGCATGCTCACTGAAGGCTGACTGGGGGTCAGCAGCAGAGACCCAGCCCAAAGCATCGCTTTTTCTGCCACTATTGTTCCATGGAGATGTCTCTGGGGCTCCAGGAGAAACCATTGTGAAAGACACCAACATAACTTCTTATCTCAGCTGGGGAGAGACATTTCTTTCATGCAGTGTCATTGCTTATATCAAAGAATTATGTTTAAGAATGATCTTTCCTAGGAGGGGTCCCCTTTACTGCTGCTGAGGAAAGAGATTCAACTGAGTCAAAAAAAGCATTTAATCTGGGCTTGCCATACTGGAGGTGGAAGGAGACAGCCCCCTCTTATGCACCACACAAACCCTCAAAGTGGGGTTCCTCTTGCCCCAATTCAGGCAAGCACAAAATAATTACTTGCACTTGAGCTCCTTGTCTCATCTCCCATGCTAATTAATGGTGATGGAGAGTAGGGACAGTTGTTCTGATGCAAACACCTGCTGACATTTGTGGAGCCAGTATTGGTTCAAGGCATGTGCAGGTAATTAAGAGCTAAGGGATCATTATTAAGTATGAAAGAGATTTCCTTTGGCCACCTGAAATAGTAGATGATGCCCACATTTAGGACAAATGAATCTTGCCTTGTTTGTTATTTTCTGGGTAGCATAGGCAGCTGTTATGGTTTTGGCATGATTATTGGCAAATTACCTTTATAGAGGCTCATATGACATTGCATTTTAGATGTTTGATGAAAACAGCAGTGATAACACACTGATGTGTTAGAGCAGTGCTCACACAGAGCCAAGGACTTTTCTGCTTCTCCTGCTGCCCTACTGCCAAGGAGGCTGAGGGTGCATTAGAAGCTGGGGGGAGACAGAGCCTGGAGCTGAGCAGGACTGACCAAATTCAGTCCATACCATGCAACATCATGCTCAGTAATAAAAGGTGGGGTAAAGGAGGAAGGGGGGATACTGGGAATGATGGCATTTGTCTTCCAAGAAACTCTTCTCTGTGATGAGCCCTGCTTTCCTGGAAGTGGCTGATCATCTGCCTGGCAATGGGAAGTAGTGAATGAATTCCTTGTTTTGCCTTGCTTGTACACATGGATTTTGCTTTACCTAATGAACTGTCTATGGCTTAACCCATGAGTTCTACCACTTTTACCTTTCTGATTTTCTCCCCATCCCACCTGGGATGAGTGGGTGAGTGGCTGTGCCATGCTCAGCTGCCTTCTGGTGCTAAACCAAAACAGTTCTTTGGGGTACAAAGGGTTTGAGACAATGACAG